AACATGTAGGGCTTCAATTTCCTATTCCACGGTATGATGCAAGCCCAGATGGCCCAAGGCAAACTTAATGGACTTAAGTTCTAAAGGGATAGTTTCAAAAGAAAAACATTTGAGACTGCTACCATGGACTGCAAAATTCGAGGTTTTTTAGTACCATCTTGAGTTCTTGTGACCATGTGATTGATAAGGGAGCTCAGGGCTCGTGAAAAATTAGATTAGTTGGTTTCTTGGGTCACAACATTTTCCACATCATGAGCATGTGCTACATCATCTTAGACATCTTGTGTTGGTATCATAGTGTTGGCATCTTTCTCTACAAGAGAAGTTGGACCACTATCATTATTGATAGGCAAATCAGCTAGAGGAGCAGACACATCCTGGGCATCCCTAATGGGCGGTGTATGTGAAGCTGATAAATCAAAAGAAGAATTTTGTATCTCAGATTCATAATACTCAGACCATTCTGCATAAGTAGTCAGCTCCCCCTGAACATGTACACTATCAAACAAAGAATTTGGATTAGGATATGGAAAATTATTTTTATCAATTACAACATATCTGAAGATATAGACTCGCCCTATGGGTGGATGCAAACATTTGTAAACCTTATGCTAAACAATGTAACCCAAAAATACACATGGAAGAGAACGATGACAGATTTTATCTATAGCGTAGTCTCGAATATACGAAAAACATTGACACCCAAATATCTGAAATGAAGAATAGTCTAGAAGGTGGCCAAACAACAAAGAATATGACAAATCCATTTACGAATTGTTTGAGGGAATCTCGTTTATTACAAAGGTTGTAGATGGAAAGCTTTAACCCAAACCCGTTTACGAATCCCTGCATGAAATATTATTGTAAGACCCATCCTACAATATTTCTATGTTTCTTTTCAGCTATTTCATTTTCATCAGGGAATCCCGAGCATGATATATGTTGCACAATTCCATTATTAGTACGATAAGCAATGAATTCTTTCTTAGCAAACTCATCGCCTCCATCACATTGAAAAATTCAGATTATTTTTTCAAATCTCCTTTCAACCATACAATGAAATTTCACAAATGCAAAGAAAAATTTATATTTTCTTTTCAAATGATAAATTCAAGAAAAACAAGTGTAATCATCCACAAACACCACATAAAAGCGATAATTCTGATTTATAACTCTGATTAGATAAAGCTGGAGCATGACCCCATAAATCTGAATGAATCTTAAAGAGAGATTTTTTAGAGGTCTTATCAGTACTATTAAATGGAAGTTTACTTATTTTTCCCATCTGACAACTAGCACAAACATAATGAGAATTATTCCATACATCAATATTAATCAACTGCTTAGATTCCAAATAACAGACTACTTTAGATTGAGGATGTCTAAGCCGTTGATGTCACACATCTTCTGATGTTCTATTATTTCGATTAGAAAATAAAGCTTCATTCACATCCTCAAGTGCATAAAGCAGCCCTTGCCACTCCCACTGGCTAGAGTTCTCCATGTGCTCATTTCCTAATCAAAAAACCATTCGTAAAGAATTCAAAAATACAAGAAAAATCTTTTGTAAATTGACTAACAGATAATAAATTATTTTTAATCTTTTGCACCAAAAGAACATTAGAAATGTTCAATATTTCATACCCAATGCCAATATTTGCATCATCAACATGTAAAATAGTCACTAACCATTGCTAAACATAACTATATCTCTGCCACTATACGGGCGAAGGTTTTGCAATTGACCTAGGTCTCGTGTCATATGAATTGAGCCACCAATGTTTTAGAACCATTCTGAGTCTTGAAATTTTTTTATAGTTACTGCAGCAAGTGATTGATGAATATCTTTGATTGAATCGGTGTCGGCACTTTAATGTTGTATGTTCAAATTTGACACTTTTCGTGGGGTGTCCAAGCAGATTGTTGTATCTGTGAACCTTGTTACAATATTTGATTCACATGTTGCATAGTTGTACTACCACTTTCTTGGTTTGTCTGCAGCACACTACATCCCCCATTATTGTTTTGTCATGTTTGAGCAAATCTACACCCCCAAAAATTGAAAAAATGTTGGCCACCAAAGTTTTACTTCCTTCTATCTCTGTAATTTCTAGTGCTTTTGTTGGGTCCAAAATTTCTCTGTTGTCCAACAAAAGCCATATTCTGATTTGGACATGAGTGTTCTTTAAAGACTTCAGGCTAATTTCTAATCTCATGGCTTTGAAGCAGTGGTATAATTTCATTATAGGAAAGAATCAGAAGCTTAAGCATAGTGGTAGCAAAGTACTCATACTCAGAACCAAGTCCATTAAAAAGCCAAAAAACTTTATTTCCATATGGTACAAGATTAATTTACTTCATCTAAAATTTACCAAAGGTTTTCATCATTAACTGAATACTCTTTTCACGAATTTTTTAAATGACCAAATTGTCGATATTTTGGATCTTCAATATTAGGAATTGCATACCACTTTTTTTTTTTTAGGAAAAGAGCCCGGGCTTAATTGATTAGCGCTTGATGGTTTGCAACGCTACATCCTAGGCTCAATTCCTACTAAGGGTAGGGGCCCTCTCCCCACTGACTCACCCATAAATAAAATTTCTTCATGATGGCTCTAGAATTAATTTCCAACACCAACAATAAAATTCGAAACTCAAAAAATAGTACACATCTTATGGATCCGTTAACACTTATTTTTTAAAAAGAAATGGATGGACTAGATGACTTGTTGCAATATACACTATTTTTAAAACTTGAAATCCTAATATTTTTCACAACCTTATGTTCAAAGATGATCGATTTAAAAGTTTTTCAACACTTGAATTGCAATTTTTGATGAATTATGAGGAGAGTTTTACTTATTTTGATAGGGCTGCAGCCCTATCAAACCATTTTCCATTACTTAAACGTATTACTTAATCATATTTTTATGTGTGTAATTATAAAATTAGGCACACTTTGTTTTATTAATTAATTTTTTATAAATTTGATCTTTTAAAATTATGCTTAGAATAGACTCATCGAAAATTAGGTGCAGAAATGATGTTTTATTACATATTTATTATATATTATATTATAGATCGTATATAATTATATAATATGATATATTATTGCATATTATGTTATATTATATATGAAAGAGCGACAAACGTGATGATAAACACGAATATAAAGCAAGGTGCTCCTGCAGAAGCAAAGTACTCATTTGCTCCCTCAAACGAAAACCAAGCCAGGATCGCTTTTGTGATACCAAGCAATCTAAATATAAGTATCCAAAGAAATAAACAAATAGATATCAAATATTTTTTTGGAAATATATTTAATATTTATTTATCACGAAAACCAACAGGACTACAATGACAAGGCCCTGTTGAAATAACTCCTTAATAAAAATTTCCCAAAATTTGTTGTATCTTGGGCAGTGCCAGTTGCTTTTTGTTACTATAGAGAGGTTATACAAATCCTGGTGAACCCTTGGGTACGGACTATATGTTTAGCCCCTTATATAAAAGGTGCATAGAATAAAATTAAAAATAAAAAATATTGTTTATCTATTTAGCAAAGAAAACAGAGCCTGCGGAATTCTATCTGTTTGCCATGTCAGGTCGAAGGGAACTCACGCATTACTTACTAAGTAAGATTATAGAAGATTTGTCAGTTAATAAACAATGGAATTTTCTGCAGTATTAAGTCCATTCAACGCCACCAATCACCGATAGCCACATACGGCAGTTAGTTTTTGCTCCTTTTTAACTAATTTTTTACTTCTAAATAACAAAACACAGCGAAAAGTTATTACGCCACATTGATGGGAATTTTACAAAATAACTTCCCATATAAATTTCATATTTGAAAACATTCATATATTTCTATTGCATGGTCAATCGCATTTTTAATTTTTTTTGAAATCCTCAAATTATCTTGACATGGCATTTAACCAACCGGGGTCCTTATTTAAGTGAAAAAGCGTTAAGAATGTTGGATGTCTGAATTAGTTTTTTTGGTATCTCGACCAGGTCGGATTATTCTTCAGGTCAAAAGAAAAAGATGAGAGGGTAGTTCCAATATCTAGAAATGCAAATAAGCCTCTTCGTTTAGACATTAGATATCCAAACGGACCCAGTTATTAAAAAAAAACACCTTTGGTTTGAAAATCCAACATTGGGATATGAGATGCCCAAATTTGAGGTACTGTGGAAACAAAAAAGCCAAGAAAAATTTAGAGAAACACAAAGTAGAAAATATTTAATACCTATTTTTAAAAAAATTGTATACAATGAGACCATTTACATTGGATACAGAGAAGCCATAATTACTTTTAACATGTGAAATCTAATAACTTGGATGTATCACAAAGTGTGAAAAAATTTCTTTTGAAGTTTGAGCTTGGTCAACGGAATAAATACAGCCATCCAATTTCACATGCAATGGTCAAGATTAATTGAAACCACCTTGTACCAAATGTTAAATGTCTCATTATATACTCAAAATAGGCCTCTTTGTTTGAACATTTGATATCCAAACCGACGCAATTATTAAAGAAAAACACCTTTGGTTTGGAAATCCAACATTTTGATATTGGATGCCCAAATTTGAGGTAACGTGGAAACAAAAAAGCGAAAAAAAATTTAGAGAAACATAAAGTAAAAATATTTTATACTTATTTTTAAAGAGATTGTATACAATGAGACCATTTACCTTTGATACAAGAAGGCCACAATTACTTTTAACATATGAAATCTGATAACTTTGGTGCATCACAAAGTGTGAGAAAATTTCTTTTAAAGTTTGAGCTTGGTCAACAGAATAAATGCAACCATCCAATTTCACATCCAATGGTCAAGATTAATTGAAACCACCTTGTACCAAAGTAAAAAATCTCCATCAAAAATATAATAAATGGGGATTCACCAGATTCATGAAAAGTAGAATCAAAATCAATGGCCAGTTTGGTCACTTTCTAAATCCCAAAGGCGGGTACTCAAAAGCATACCTGCACTTCACAAAACCCTCCATTATGAAATTCAAGGAGACCGTACAACATATTCAATGATTCAATAAGCTCAAATAGAATACAAAAATGCACACCTCTAATTCCGTTTTATACAGTTACACGTTTAAAATTACAGATATTTTAGACTTAAGCATGCATGCAAATATATATACAAGCAGTTCAATGACTTCATCGAAGGGCAAAGAGGTCAAACCCCAGGTCCAACCTAATTCATGGTTTCCAGTTGAAAGAATTGAGGAAAAAAACTAAGGTTCAACCTTCACACACTGGTTAAATTCCTCACCTTTAACACAATTGATCTTTGTGACTAAATCATAGACTTTATCCACCTTGCTAGGATCAACCTTAAAGAAGCGATAGGCATCTGATTTCTCGACTGTGGTGCCTTTCAAGGCCTCAAGAGTCAGAACCTCCTTCATCTTCAGGTAATGAGCAGGCAGCAATCTATTTTGGCAGCATAGTTGTTGCTCCTGAACATCACAGGCAAAAATTCTAGGCTAAGATCAGACACTACCAACTCTTTCACTGCTTGGTAGAAAAATTGGGAAAAAAAAAAAACTAAGAAATTATAACAAAGAGTAAGTAAACTGGTAAGCATCACCACATAAGTGGTAAAAGCAAAGATTAACCATCTTCTGAAGAAAAAAGAAAAAGTAAAGAAAAAGGAAAGAAGGATTGGAAGAAAGACAACTGAAAATGTCACCACAAGAACCTAAATCAGTATGGAAACCATGCAGAAAAAAACAAATAAAAGATTTTGTTTAAATCAAGTTAGAACTTATTTAAGATGCCATTCCTAAGGAACTTAAATCTAGCACCAAAATCAATATAAGAACTGCAACCTGCACACCAAAAAGTCCTTTTCCTTCTAACAGGTAAAAACTTTAAGCTGATCAGAGAAGAAACCCACATTTAGGGAATGACTAATTTCATCTAATTCAGCTATTGCTTCTTCTTCTAATCCTCTTTGATGGGTATTTATGGTTCTTTTTTAAAGCTGCATAATGTGTACCATGAGAAATAGATGTTCAAGGATCCAAAAGCTTCATGAAATACATTTACCAATCCTTTTACTTATCACTATGCAATGAATCTTTTTGTTCTATTTTTGTATTTATTAAAAAGCTATACCAGGCTTATGTAAAAGGGCTTCAAGTACCATAAAATAGTCAGCTAATGCTTCTAGAAAAAAACTGCAAATGGATTATTCAACCAGACTATGAGATGAGTATATAAGAACTGCAACCAGACTATGCCATAAATGATTTTGAGAGTTTTTTTGTTTTCCCTCTTTTTGAGAATGTTAATTGTATATATTTGTAATGCTCTTATTACAAGCTTTGCAATACTGGTGTACGCCAGCATAAAAAATTCAAAAGAATTTTCAAGCATAGAAAACCTGCCGACACTTGACTTGAAGGATAAACTGTCAATTTCTATGACATTACTAAACCAAAAAAGAAATCTTATCATAAACCAAACAGTGAAATAAAGAGAGCTCTTTCTTACATAACTTGAGAGAATATATGGGCTTAAAAAGAACAAAAATAATCTCAATCTCATTTTGAAACAAAAAAATGAACTTAGGAAAGCACCCAATACTCACACTTGAAGACAGTAAATTTGCTCCAGGAAGTCCAGTGATATCCCATTGATCCATTGCCCTTGTAGATGATAAATTGTTGACACAAGAATCCATCGCCATGGGTCCCTTTGTTTTCTGGTTATCGACAGTGCTGCCAGGGCTTCCATCAGATTCTGGTTTCTCTTTCATCATAGGGCGGTTCACCTTCTGCAATACTTTGCCGCTTGCACCAAGATGACCACCTTCCTTTGCCTTCTTTATGTTTGATTCTGACTCTTTCCTTCTTTTCTCGGCAGCATATCTCTCTCCTTCAGCCAATGTATGGCACCCAACAGCTCGATATTCCTGAACATTAGGGAATCATACTCAGGAGCTCTGAGATAAAAGTTTTATCACCTGTCATAAATGACATCATCACACTGACAAAAAAGGTACCAACAGTTTCATAGCCGACTGTGAATTTAGGTATTTGTCTTTTATATGAAATCTTGTAACCTTTTTTTCCTTTTTTTTTTTGGAGAAAGTACCTTGTAGCCTTTTTGGTACTTTTGTTTTTTCGGGATTGGTTTTTGTTTTTTCTGGATTGGTAAACTTCAGGACATCAAATATTGTTCTGATGAAGGATATTCTTATAACACTGAGGCATACCTCTATGAAGAAAGATATGCAGCCAACTTATCATCTCCATCTTGAACCAAGATAAATTATTTTAACTCATGAGCATTCCACACATTTGTTAATTTTACTTGTTAGTTAAAGGGAGTTCTACATGACTTGTTAATTTTCTTGTGCATCGACTGATGAAAAATGAGCTCCATCAGCAGACTAGAGAAGCAGTTTGAATGAAGTATAGGTAGCACTGAGATCTTATAGTGAGCAATTTCAAAAAGCATACATACATAATTAAGAAAATCTAAAGGTAAAGTTTATATAGAGCCGAGGCTCTATACAATGAAATTAGAACCCACCTCAAAAATTTTACTAGAAGAGGTTGTTTTGATGCCCAAATATCCTCAAATTGATCATCTCGGCCTCAAGATGCATGGACATGAAAAAAAAAGGATTTCAAGTTTTGGAAATATTGCATCTTGTAACGCATTTTTGGACCGTCAATTTTTAAGATTTTCAAGTTTTCATAGATCTGCTAAATCTACATTATTTTTTAAGCTTTAAATTTTATAATTAAATATCAAAACATATTTTAAGGCTATCGCAAAGATTTCCAGTATTGAAACTACATTTCTCGACACTATTTGAAGGTGCGCTTTACTTTGATTGTTTAGAGCCTCGGCTCTATACAAACCGCACCCAAATCTAAAACTCAAAGACTATTTTTGTTGTGACAGTAGACTTAGAATGCTGACAAGATAAATATAACTAATGGAATGGGAATAAGAGAGCAAACTTAGAATGCTGACCACTTAAAAATAACACATGGATTTCCCAGAAAAACACAACCTTCAAAGTTCTGTATGGAAGACACTACCAGTTCATGAAATTCCAAGGGCCTGGGAAAACATCTGAAAGAATGGAGCCTATAGGCTCTAAAAACATTCTCAAGAACTCATTAATTAAACAACCCTTATCTTCATAAGTAACATTTTCATCAAAGAACCCATTTTCTATCAAATTTTCAAACCTGTAGTTCTTGAATTCTTTGTCGAATCTTGCGTTCTTGAATGAATCCCCGGATTAATGCATCATGTTCCTCCTGAGAATGAAAGCGCATGAACACCTTACACCTATGATATATTTCCGTGTCTTCTTTTGACAGTTCCTTCTCCAGAGGATTAGGATAAAGCAAGTTCCTCTCCAATATGAAATCCTTTCTCCTTTTCCTCTCATCAAGCCTGCCAAACATACCTTACAATTAACTAGCAAGTTATCTACTATCAACAAACAAAAAAGGCCAAGGTTCACTGGCATGACAACTGCTGATGGACGCATTTGCATAAAAAATAAATGCACATGTTAAGAACCTTGTGTAACTGTGGAACCCTGGTTAAAAATAAATACTTGGTTGTTATGTGTGTGTGTTTGTGTGTGTGTGTTGCAACATCGATTTGTTATAAGAAAATCTGTTTTGCACACCAAATATAAGAAAATCTTTTTTGCAACATCAAATTGTTACATCTTTTTTGCAACATCAAATTGTTATATATCTGTACGATACCTAAAATGTGAGTTACGCATGTCACAGGAATATAGCTCCATAGGTTCGATAGGTTCGTAGCAAGTGTAGACTATAATATTTGAGCTCTCGCAGGTTTAAGATATTACGCTAAACCTGTGTGCGTCTTACGAAGATTCTTTCCTAGATATCTTTTTACAGTTTAATTTGAAATCAAGAAAATTCTCGGTCTTCATCCAGCATCGTTAGAAAGAGACATGAATGTCTATAAGACTAGTGTAAAGTCATGGTGCACCTAGCTTAATAGTGCAATATAGTTCCCATAACTTTTTTACAGTCTCCTCACGTGAGGTGCTTCAGGTGAACTATAATATC